GCAGCTATTTTGAGATCGGTCAGTGGAGGAAGAGCAGACCTTCAATTTGTTCTGGAGGCTAGTGAGCTTAGAATATATGACCAGTAGGAAGCTATTGCTTGGAAATCTGACAGTAAAAAAAGAAAAGGAAAACAAAAGATACTGTTATCCTTGTCTGGCAGATAAAGCCTAACAGCATGAATCAGAGAGGCTACATTAACCCTCTCTTCTTCTGTGAGAAGAACAGAAGCTGGTGAATTAAATGCAGCTCAGAGAAGGCACTCCTTGCCATCACATTCACCTGAGAATTCAGAGACAGTGTGTAGTCAAGAAGCTGCAGGCCTGCTCTTTTAGGATGAGTGTGATCTCCATCCAGAGCAGGCACCTCCTCTGATGGAACAGAATCAATAATAACCAACAATCCAGTGTGACTGAATTCAGCTTTAATTTGTACTGGCTTCTTTCTTATTATCCTATTATCAGTATACTGTAATTAAATCTGATTGTAGATGTGATAGATTTTCTGTGCAAAAAAAGTTCAAAAGTCCATCAAAGTTCATCATCAAGGCCTTTGACAATCTTCACAGGTTGAATAAGATCCTATATCATCTGGAAAGTTTCCTTGGGTAACTTTCTCAAAGTTATGACAGTGAGAGAGGTTGGGAGATTTGACTTGGTACATGACAAAGTGCAGGTCACCTCAAGAGCAAATGTGGATTGAAACTCAGACACTGGCTGGATCTTCTATAGAATTGCTGGCTGTGAAGTCAAGTGAACATGGGGGACATACTCCTTCTAAAAGGAAACTAGGTGGCCCAAACTAGCTTGAGCCCACCATATGTCTTCTAGGAATCAACGCATGTGGGATTGACAATCATGCTAAGACTTGACATTAATACATTACATACATTATGTACATGCAAACAAGAGAATATATTTGTGAGGTAGACACTATTGCTCTCCCATTTCTGAATCTACATCCTCCCATCATTCCTCATGGACCGCTGTCCTCCTCAGTGCATCCTGTTGGAAGGGTGCCTCCATAAGGGCACTTGAAGGTCTGACCATATTTAAACAGGCTGATCATAGAATCATAGAGGTGGAAGGGACCTTGAAAGTCTTTTAGTCCAACCCCCTGCCCAGGGCCAGAATCTCAGACCACCCCAGACAAATGATTATCCAACCTTTGCTTGAAATCTTCCAGTGATGGAGCACCCGCAACTCAAAGAGACAGGCTGTTCCACTGCTTCATAGCACTTGTGAACTACAGAAGATAAATACACACCCTCTTCTTCCCTGTGACAGCCCTTCAAGGATTGCAGCCTTTTCCCCTTAAAACATGCTTATTTCTTTTAGCTACCTCACCTATTTATTGTCAGAGTCAACAATAAAAGCTCCTTTTCAAAATCATGGGCAATTTCCAATATATCACTAGGATTACTAACTCAGCTTCTGTAGTTTGGCTCAAAACAGCAGCACAGCCAATTTCTCTAGAAGCAATGCAGGGCTTACCTCAGCCATTGGGGCCTCTCTGCCACCTCCCTGGTCCTGCCACCATGCAGCATTATCTCACAGTGGTTGCCATGTCATGGGGCGTGCTTCTTATTTCCACCTTTAGCTAAAGAAGTTCCACAGGGTTGAGTCAAATGCCTCGTTCCTTGAACTGTGCCACATTCAGAAGAACCTCTGAATCCAAAACCTTTGAACAAATCATCCCTGGTTATATTAGTGATTATGATATATGTTATATTCTCGGCTGTTATGTATTTTAATTTTTTTTATTATTGTAATTGTTTTTACTTTATTTTAATTTTGTTTACCACCCAGAATCACTTGTTGAGATGGGCAGCCATACAAATTGAATAAATAAATAAATCCCTCTTCGGTGTCTTCACCAAGCAAAGAGGCACTCCTTTCTTTTAAAAGCTTTGCCTGTCATCATGCATGGGTATTGGTAAAAAACAAGGCCTGTCCTATATATTCTCCAGGATCCCCAGTGCTCAACTCTGTTAAAGTTAACAACATTGAGTTTGGACACACAATGTTCAGTGACAGAGCAGGAATGTGTGTTCACTGAGGTTTTTCCATTGTATGAAAAATACAGTCTGACGGCACCTGACCAAGGGCTGGGTTGGGGTAACCACAGCAGCTGTCTCCCCACACACCATCAATAACAGGCCACTAGGCCTTGGGCCACTAGATGCTACACACAGACACTCAGTGCCACTACCAGGCACAGTCCTAAAATGAGGACTGCAGTGGCACCTCTTCCTGGCAGCCCAAACTCTTGCTGTGGCAACGGTCCCAGCCATGCTCAGGCAGTGGTCTCTTGGCAGCAGATGCTCCGATCTGCACGTGCTTCAAAAGCCATGATGAGTGCCCACCCCTCACCGTAAGGGTCGTCTTTCTGAATCTATGTGGACAACACCCATAGTAAGGCAAAATCCACTGCGCAAATGCCTAGCCAAGAGTGATCTCCACCCATACGTCATGGCACCTGCTCTGCTTCTCACAATTTCTCTCATTTAGTGCTGCCCTCATTCATTTTCTTCTGTCTGAAGTTTTTCTTTCCATGAGGAAATAAGCAATAAATTATTACTACCTGCCATGCAATCATGAAAGATAGATCCTTCTTTTCGCTTGTTTCCATTTATCAGTTCTGAATGGTGCCAAGGGCTTGATACAATATGCAGTTCTGTCTTTTGGCCGCCTCTTCTCAACCAGTATAGAAGAAGGAGACATATAGAGAATAGACTGTAAAGACTAAAGCTATTCTATTGTAGCAAAAATACAGAAGCATACATTGCATTGCGATGCACAGGCCTGTGGCCTGGGACTTCTTCTGGACTCACAGCTCCTGCTGAAGCCCACATGGCGATTGTGGCAGGATGGCTTTCCTGGTTATGGTTTGTGTGCTGCTTGTGGACTTTTTGGAGTAAGACGTCTTGGCCAGTGCATGTGCCTTTACCATCTCATGGCTGGCTTGCCGCAATATGCTCTAACTCAGGAAGGCTGGTTGTTGCAAGATGCAGCAGACCGCCTGTTGGCAGCACGACAGGTGCTGCACTGGCAGCCGCTGTTTCCTGACAGACTGAAAAGCACTGTTTATAAGGTCCCTTGTGGCTTGGGCTCTGATTATCTGTGGGAACGTCTTCTCCGAGTTTCCCAGTCCTCGTGCGCAAGAAAAGTATGCCACAGATTCCTTTTGTCAGGATACAATAAAGAGTCATGGGGGGAGCATTAAGTAGTGGAGGAGGAAGGAGGTAGTTGGGCATCCCTGGAGCAGTTCACGTGGCACATGGACTGGCGATACTGTGTGTGTCGAGGAATCTGCATCTGAACCCAACAGGTCCGACAGAGCACTCTGCTGAGGGAACAGGCTGGTGGAAAAGACTGCGCTTTTTAGAGAATAGGCCAGACGCCAGCAAGGACAGCTTGACCAAGGAACCGGAATCCCAGAAGCTGAGAAAATGTTTTCCCCCCTCTTTCCGTTGCCACTCCTAGGGCAGAAGCAAGCCCAGAAATGAAAGCCCAGAAAGAAGCTCTGCGAGGAAGAGAGGGAAACAGCTGAGACGCTGTACAAAGCACCATTTAAAATTGCCTGTATAGAGCTGTAGAGGTACCTTTCGTTACGCTAATACCACTGCAGATAGAGAAGAATGGCGTGTGTCCGTGTCTGGAAAGCTCCTGTTTTTCCCACCCTTCAGCGATCCCCTTGACCTGTGTGACTGGCCACAGCTGTCCCATATCTCGGGCAGGAAGGCATCTTTCCTCTCACCTGCTCCATGATGCTTTTAAGTAAAGTTTCTTCCCCATGTGTCCCTCCCTGCAGTGGAATGCTAGCATGGCTTTCCATGTGCAAGTCTCCGTCTAAGCTCAAGACCTCTCATGTCTAAAGCAAGGAAGCTGGTGCACTTAGTACAGCCAACCCATAGCACAGTAGAGATAAGATTTTTCTAATACACATGCTTATCTTACCATGACTTCATCTGTATCCAAGTACCGACTTGCTTGACACCCAACTTGTAACCAATAATCTGAAATTTGAGGCTCTTTGTTCTTGTAAAGCAGATATAGCCTGTATTTGGCAGTGAGAGGGGGTCTTTCACCTTGGGAGTGTTGCTAACATGACAATGTTGCTTCTGTGACTGATCAGGCTCTGTAAAGTCTTACAAATAAACTATCTGGAGACTGAGTATTGGGTTCATGGTCTTCACTGCATAGACAAATGAGCCCAGATGAACCTCTCTGAAAAAACAACTGAGAAGAGACAGGCTGCTATGGTTCTCATGAGTTTTCTCTCCAACACCAGGCTGCCAAATTCACAAAGCAGAGAGAGAGATGATCAACACAAAATCAAGAGTTACACAATAACACAATGGTTGAATATATTTATTTAACCAAGAAGATAACCACATGCTTTAAAGTATAAACAAACCAACTGCTTATGTATCCACAGACCAGGGTAATAGATTTTTTTTTAATCCTGCCTTTATTATTTTTACAAATAACTCAATAATAGGAATATTAATAGGAATATTAAGATTCCTTACTTAGGAACAGTAATAGGAGTCTTAATTTGCATTTCAATAGCCATAAACATAAGAGTACAAATCCAAATTGGGATCAGATTTAACACAGTCCCAAGGGCTGGGCTTGTAAGGATTAGAAGAACAAGAGCAACTTTTTTTGCAACTGTGCTTGGAGCTCCTTGGCATTACAACTGCAAGGCAAGGACACAAGTGTGACAGGGCATGGGACCAATTCCCCCAGAGCAGCAGCTCTTCGCCAAAATGTAGGAAGTGCCATCTCCCTGGCTGAACCACTCAATTCTTTGCCAATTGTCTCCCCTATTTACCGTGTCATCTCTCCTTAATGCTCCCAGAGTGAAGTCTAATTTCTCCTCAACATCTTGTAGCATCTCTAATTACACTCTCCAACCTTTTTGTTTCCATACAGGATACACAACCACTGTATTTCATCCTGTTCTCTTTCATTTGAGCAGTACCTTAATGGACGGCATGACACAAAAGAAAACTAAGTCAAGGATTAAGAAAAGTATAGCCAAGGAGCAAAGCACGTCTGGGCAATTTATCAGCGAAAGGGAGCAGTACCTGCAGAAGGAATATGCCACCCTGACAGAGCATATCAAGACATATTCAGATCGAGTGGATCACTTTCAGGATGAAAATGAATTCCTGGACAAGGAAGCCCAGGAGATCCGAGAAAACAACAAAGCTTACCTTGCCTATTTAGCCAAACGCACCCTCTGGTGCCAGAATGCCATCATTACCTTAAATGACCAGAACCGTTCAGATCTGGCATATGTCCTAAAGCAGAAGGATGAGCTAACTTCTCAGTACACAGACAAAGAGAAAGAGGTAAGGAGCCAGCTGATTGAGATGGAGACCAAGTACTCCCTCATGAACAAGGAAATTGATGAATTGAGGCCCTTCAAGGAGCTGCAGTCAGAGCAGCTAGCCCATATCCGGGAACTGGAGAAAGTCCTGCTGGTCATGAAAATCCACCATTCAGAACAAATGCACAAGGTTAAGAGCCAATTTCTGCAACAGAAGGCAGAATATGAAATGGAGTCCCAGCAGAGAGTCCAAGCTTTGGCCAAAAAGGCTGAGAAAGAGGCCGTGCGCAGTCTAATCCAACACACCAAGCAGATAAAAGCTGAAAATTGGAGACTGCGCAATGAGCTGATGAACCTCATCAAGAGAGCCCAGGGCCTAAAAGCCATTGTGCATCAGCTCCAGGAGCAGAACGAACAGCTTCTTCGGGAGCTCCAGTATGGTAAAGATCTGGCCCATATGCATCGCTGGCTAACTCAACAAAAGCGATCAAGGTGCAAGACCGGTCTGTCCACTAGGACTAAGCTGGGAGTTGCTCTCCAACCACTCATGAACAAAAGCCCAGAATCTCCTACAAGTATCCAAGTGGCAGCAGAAAAACAATCAACAACTCAGAAGACCAGTGTGGGAGAAACCATTATGCTCCCTGGCACAAAGTTCCCATAGCACACACAGCCTGCATGAAAGGCTTTAATGGAAGCAGCACGAAGGCTGGCTTAGCCCTGTCATGACGTTCCGAAGCAGCCTTAGCACCACCTCCCTGGTTAAGAAGATGATGAGGTAGCAACTCTTCTAGGATTTTTCTGTCTTAGAAAACAGTAGTAACAAGCGCATTTTACTTTTCACTTTCACAGCTAAGAAGGTGGGTCAAAGAAAAAGAAAAATAAAGGAAGAATTCTGAAAACCACTGTATATCATTCATGACTGGGTTAGATGGTCTAATTCATGCAATCAGATATCAGCAGAGGGGTAAAAAAAGTCAAGATGGTGGGTGCAATACTATTTTTTTGTGTTGGGAAGAATAATTTGTGCACTGTAGAATGTGGGAGCCTTACAGAAATGGGGCCTCTTAAATCACTCAGTTAAAAGTCATTTAAAATAGTAGTCTTCACCAGATTTACTACCAAGGAGGAGGCGATGGCAGTGTGGCAAAGATCCCTCTTACCAAAACAGCATGACTAAGCATTCTGCAGGACTTGGATCCAGGCATTCTGAGGAAAAGAACCCTAAGAACATAGGACAGTTCTGCCACTGTCCTTTCCCAGTGAAATTCACTATCTGCACTACCCAGTTTATGTAGCTCCACCTGATAAGATCAGCAGTCTTTTTAAAAAGGGACTTCGACCTGGCCAAAAGAGCAGTTCCTGACCTCTAGGATTAAGGGATGGGTTGAAGTAATGTCAGCAAAACAGCAAATCCAATTCACAAAGAGCGAGCTCAAGTTGCAAAAAGTTTGCCTCCTTCTCAAACAACTGTAACAGGGCAAAATAGCACAAAATGGAATTATAAATGCACTTGGAGAAATACATTAAATGAACTGTTGAATAATTGCTTAATAGACCATCCTGACAATTATTTATAACCCTTAATTTGTTGGGAAGCTTTAAATTTGTGTAGATAAACTAAAAAGGGAAATCAGGGAATTATTAAATATTTAAACAAAAATAAATGTGTTGAAATTTGGAGTTAAGAGAAAGGAATTATATGTATAGTATTTAGATGCTATAAAAGGAAAAGTATTATCTTTAAAACAAAAGTATTATGAGTCTGGTGGTAAATCTTCAAATCTCTTAGTTAAAAAGCTGAAAAGCAATAATGTAATAACATAAAAGCTTTGAGGCAACCTTATCATGGAAATATTTGAAAGAATTCAAAGAACATTGCAAAATACTATGCAACATTTTATTCTAATCTGTATGTATCTAAATAAGTGGATAACGCTAAGATTGAGCTTTATTTAAAACATATCCAAATCACATTCATCCCAGCAAACTCTTAAATGATTAAAAATCTTAAATAAATTACCTGGACCAGGTGAACTTCAACCCATAGTTTTCAATAAAAGATAGTTTTCAATAAAATAATGTTAGAGTAAATTATTCAGCTTCAGCATTTTGTCATCTCAGTAGTTATAGCAGGAACAGAAATGCCTGAAACATGGAAATCATCTATAAGAATTCCACAACCTAAAACCATAAAGATCACAAATATCCGAAATCTTTCACATAACAAGACAAATATGAGTAGCTTACAACTTCAAAAGCAAGAAAGCAATAATAGGAAGAGCATAGAAGAAGCAGGCAAGTATTTCACAAAGAAAAACCTCTTCAGCACCCAGCCTGCTGCAAGGACCCGAGGAGAATAGCCGGGTTTCCACTGTCATCAGGGCAGGAGCCGCATGGATCTCTGCGAGGAACCTCATTTCAGAGGATAGGCACTGCTACAGAGAAGGCATGTTTCTTAGGCCTCAATAGATGGCACCGTTTAGTCAAAAGGACCTGAAGTGTACTCACTCTGCCCAATCTTAGGGGATGGGCAGGAACAACTAGCCATGCTGCCAAATTCTGAGGTCTGGTATCATTCCCCCCACAATGGGTAAAAAGCACCCTAGGCATCCAGAAAGCTGTTGGCACCTGCCAAAATCAGACATCCAACCCTAACTCTGGGGGGGGGGGGGGGGCATGTATGAGGTTCACGATGGGGTCTTAGTCAGGTCCAAGCCCAGACGGGCCACCAGGTGACAGGGCAATTGTCACACCAAGCTGTAAGCCTGCCCTCAGCAGGTCTTCTCATAGTACCCCAGTCTCTTAGGGTCTGTTATCTGTTCCTCTATAACTGTCTGGTTTGATTCCGCAACCAAGCAGGACAGACTCAGACTCCAACGGATAGTTAAGTCTGCAGAAAGGATCATTGCAACCCGCCTGCCTTCTATAGAAGAACTATATACTGTACTGTGAGGGTCAAAAGGAGGGCAGAGAGGATATCTGCAGACTCTTCTCATCCTGGATATAAACCGTTC